TAAATGTATGGGCAACTGAGGTTAGTAGCTAAAGAAGACTATGATGTAATTAATTGAAAATGTCTAAGTAATTGCTTTTAGAAGCCGTCAAAGATAAATTTAAGAGCCAGAGTAAATTCAATGAGCTATCCCTCACACAAACCCACAATTACGAAAAGATAGGCCTACTTATACGATCTCCCAAGTACATAATATGATACAATATTATTCACCCAAGTTATAGACACCGATTACTCCACTACATATCAAGTTTCAGTGCCTCCTACAAATGTCAGCACGATTATGAAACACGATAATGATTCAAACCAAAGCCTTTAATTTGCTCATTAATCTCTGGAGAACGTACGCATAATCTTGTAAAATTTGCATACACATTCAAGGTTGGTTCGAAATTACTAAAACACAGTCACGAGTTTTTGCCCACAATTTTGTTATTTACTCAGCTGGGCGTGGCTTTAGCCGAATTCGCGACCTTTCAGAAGGTCGGCATGGTGTAAGTCTTGTAACCCATGATTATTCAGACTCGCCTGAGCTGATACAACTTTGAAATAATAATTTTCCTCCACACGAGATGAAATTTTCAATAAGCTATATCAAGAAAGGGATTAATCATATTGCTTTTAGTGGAGGAGGTTTTCATTAAAGATTATGATTTCTTTTCCTGCAGGCTCTATCTTTTTAAGTTTTCTACGTATGTGTAACTGGAGCTTAAAGGGGCTCCGAACCGCACGTTCACTAAAATATCATATTGATAAAAACCATTGGTAAAAGAAGAAATTATAAATGGGACCCACAGGACACAGGCACTGCTCTCCTCGCACTATTTACATCTAGCACCTCAAATGAGACACCAACACACAAAAGTTGATTTGCAAGAAAAGGGTGTAGTAAATAAATTACTGTACATAATCGTCGAGGACAAAAAGATATGTTAGTGAGGTTGACTTTAACTAAGAAGTTTGCTAATATAATTTCTATTTATTGACATTTATATAGTTACATCCACTTTTAATAGAAAAAGAACGTCAATCCACCATCGATTTCTAATAATACTATAATAATTGTATTATTAGAGATCGATGCAATTCACATAATGGCAAAGAATATAAGACAAACACTCTGAACTATACAGAGGTGGTGGAACAAGAAAACTAAAAAATCTAAGATTTTCCAAGTCATGTAAACTTTAGTTTCCATTATAAATAATTAGAAACCGAGCCTTAGATTTGATTTATAATGTTTGCATTACTATCCATGGAATTGAATGGAAGGCTTGAATAAGAAAATAAGGTGTACGTTTATTTTATGCTTGATGGGATGCAGACTCGGTTGGGAAAAATTATATACAGAGAGAACATACAACACATTTTCGTTCGTTACAACACATCTCGTCTAATTTTAAGGTTTTACAATCAAATTCAATAAAATAAGTCGAATAATTGGTAGGTGAATAACAATGCCAATAAAACATCACTGGCAGAGCAGCACAGAGTTAAATCAATGACCTTCCCAGCACTGCGGCCGGGGAGTGAACACCTATGACGACTGGCACATCGCCAAAGTTATTTGACAAATAACACGTTACTGGCTGTACAAAAATATTACAGATTTTATACAGTGTATGAACAACAAGACTTAAAAATCACCTTTAGTTATACCACTGACTGAATTTTGACTTATGTTAATGCATTTAGCCGCTTTACCTTGCCAACTTGATATTTGGTCAAATAAAGTTTGTTGTGAGGCACATGCGAGTACCATAATTCTCTACTTTTCCTTAGTGAGATACCTGAATGATATAAAGCTTATCATTTCCCAAGGCTGGTTAATTAACGCTTAACTCGGGCCTATAACTTGTTTTCTCATTCAAGCCAAGGAAGGGCTTTTTCAGATTCAATTAGTTCTCCCCTAGTAAGTTACCCTGTAGTAGAAGTTAGCATTTTCCAGCTTGACCCCTGCAGAGGCTAGAGTCGTGTACGTTACTGTGATAGATGGGTGAAAGTGTGATGTTGCATCACAGTGATTGTGTCTAGTTATCATGTTGCACCTGAGGACATCGTGTAGGAAACAGACAACTTGAGAGAAGCTCAGCGTCACCCAGAACTATGACTTGGGTGAATGCAGGACTTAAGCCAGGAATAACTCAAAACCAATGATCAGGGACAAATACAATGGAGGTTAGGATTGATAAAGAAGATCATGGCCATGTATCTAATTGTTCTCATTTATGTCTTTGTACATATTTATATGTGTTCAATGTTTGTACAAATTATACCAAATCGACAATATCTCAAGCAAGAGATGGCAAACAAGAAGTTTAGCTAGCCTATGAGAAAATGACTGACGATAACGTTTCGACGTAGAAACATAGGTCTCCACTATATAATTAATTGGATCGTAAGGTATGCCTTAGATTTAATTATATACAAAAACAATCTCAGATATCCTAATTTGCATGTAATCACAGTTTGTTAATGATTGGATTAAATAATAAATATTATTGGGTTATTACTGGCTATCTCGCCAATCAAGAATTATTTTAGCTATGGGTATGCTATGACCCAGTAGATCAAAGACTACCATTGCTCTAGTTCTACCCAGCTTTATTATCCATACCCAGCTAAATTAGACTCCAATGTGTAGCATTGTTGTTGCATCCGTCGTAAAACAATTGTTTTCTAATTCGAGGAGAAGTCACTTGATTTGGAGAACACCCTCCAAACCACACTATTTAAACATTGCTTCGTTCAACCCATCTACATAGTAAACAGAGTAGACCGTCCAACCGACAGCGACGTGCAGAGGTAGCACTTGATAATCTGATTCATCGCTATAGAGCAGTTAGAGGCTGAATGAAGGAGAAAGCCTGGCGAGGTAAACGACTGCATCACGAGTCGCCTCAGTTGCATCATCGTGCATTGTCCTACATGCAACTGCAACACCGCAACCACAACACTGCGGTTAGTTAATAACGGTAATCTACTGGAGGGTTCATCCTGGACACTACTGCAACTGATACTGTATAGTGTTCAAAATTAGGCATTGGGGAGAGGGTTGTAATTTCCATATTGATTTTTTTGTCTCGGCAAAATATTAATAGTAGGTTATTTAATAGTACCTAATTTTCGTTCAAAAAACTACGGGAAACAGACTTAATCCCATTTCTTACTTGTTTGAGTCAGTAACAAAGTTATATCAAATTCATACAAAACTGACTTTGAGCCACCATAATGCAATAGTTTCCTAGACATATTTCATAAGACTCGTCGTAAAATAAAGTCTTCTTTAATAATGATTACACCGAATGAAACCAATATGATGTACAACAATGTAGGTAACTAATTCAACTTGCTACGCTTAGCAAACAGTTGATTATTATACGTACGACAATATATTAATAAGTTGAACACAAATATATGTAACAATACTCTTATTTCATTTTTTGATGTTAGCCTCCGGATTACGTTGAATATATAAATTGGTGTAAATACTTGCTTCTGTGTAATACAATAGTTGCAAAGTCACGCAACTAGTTTCAACTTAATGAAGAAGTCATCTTCAGGCGTCACAATCACTTCATCAGAAGTTCGTCAAACTGAAACTAGTTGCGTAACTTTGTAACTATTGGATTACAAAGAAGCAGGTATTTACACCAATTTCAATACTCTTATGCCTTATTTTATTTGTTCACCAAACAGTAACAAAAGAATCATAATCATGTGAAACAAAATTAATGAAAATGGCAGAAACAAAATGTATTTTTGATAAACAATGTTTATCGCTCGTTTGAACAAATGTTTAATTAACTATTCAGTACAAGACACAGTAGTTAGATAATTTTGACCAATACAAATTATCATTGAATGAAAGGAGTTCAATATCAAATTATACGGGAATTATATTTATTTAATTACTGCAAGTTCCAGCCGGCATGCTACAGTAGTGGTGTGGTGACATTGGAGCCTGTGATAGCACAGCACTGATAACGCCGGTGATAGTGGGAATAGCTCCATTCATAAGTTCAACGCACTACAACCTGTGTACACAGGCGGTATCAGTAGACTACTTCCTAGTGTCGTCATCAAGTTGAACTGATGTCACACAGAATTAACAAGTATTACATGCTTTGACATTTACTTAACTCTTATACAATGTGCAGTTGCCAATTTTCAACATTTCCCGATTAAATCTGGGTGTTTAACAGTATCGTCCAGAGTATGTCTATTAACATATTACATGAACAAACCCAACTTCAACCGCGTAACGACTTGGTTGTTTGTCTATGATCACGCACGATGGTATACCACCCACCGACAGTCTGCGTTGACAAGTGACTTTGATTGCTTTGCAAAGTGACGCACGTCAAATTATATCCAATTAGCACAACAATTAGTTCATCTAGGTAGTCTCAACCGAGGTCTTTCGTATGAGCAGAAGTATCTACTATTTATGTCTACGATGGCACGTCTGCCTTCGAAAATGAAAACTGCATTTGTGCTTTAAATTTGAACATATAGTATTTTAATTATTCATTTCTCTATGATTTTTTAAATTTGCATTCGAATAGGTTTTGATCTTCACAAAAGGATTCATAGGACCAGTATGACCAGACGAAAAGAGGAAATTAGCTGCTGTAGCGATGTCTCTAATAGAATCGATTTTACATTATGATCAATAGAGATAAGAAGAGTAATTTGTTACGTGGTTATGAGAAGTGTATATGTCGTAATAGAGAGCCAGGATTTACACGCATTCAATCAGGAGGAGAAATGGATCCATCCATTCCATTTAAGCACTCAAATGGAATTTACTTCTAATCTCCACGAAGATGTTGATAGCATAGTAGCTTTAAACTTATGCTTTCTTCTGCATACTGTAGTACCAACTGCCTGTCGAGTCAGAGGCATATCCCTTATTGGTGCATCTCCCCCTACCACAGAACAACTAAAGGTTGCCATAGCAACCACCTGTGTCCCAAAAAGTCGAACTGCAGTATTTACCTTTTCACAATCCTCCTCCAGCCTGATGGCCTTCTCCAGCTGCAAGAACAGCTCCTCTTCCTTGTCGTGAAGCTCGTTGTCCTTGGTCTCCAAGCGACGCTCCAGCTCTTGCTGCCTTCTGGCCAGACGATCCCTCTCCGCCTGCAAATGAAGTAGAAATTCTCAATGAGATGATGACCAAAAGAAGTGCTTAAATACACTGTTATTCACGTCTTTTATTCGCATCTTAAGGCTACTTCGAGATAGGAATATATCACAACACTCACAGCTTTATCAGATGGTCAAAGCTATTGGTGTTTGAATTCGAACTTGGGACCTCGGGTCCCGAAGCCTCAAGCTCTGCCACTAGATCTACTGGCTTCCATCATAAATACACTATGCCAGAAAGTCGTCCAGTGGTAACAAGTCGAGATGTGTTGGCTCTACTGCGCATAATAATTCACATATGTGTTAAATACAAATGGTGTCAATGATATTACGAAAACCACGTGTGCGATAGTAATGTTGACATTTTTTAAACCTCATTAAAATATAGAAGCTATGCACATTTTCCAACTACCAAACGAAATTCAAGGTTCTCTTCTCACGTGGTATGAAAATATCCATTAACTGACGATGACCTCATGATGTGTCCACTCTAGGTTGAAAAAGATACTTGAACATGACGCCGAGATCCAAGAACATAGGCTGGAACACTTGGTGCAGAGAGAAGCGCTTTAAACACGTCAGGGATTTATAAACACTCGTGTTGTCAAGCGTGAGAGGGAACTAGGCACTTCAGAGAAGGTGTAAAAAGCGATGGGAATAGATTGGAAGACTCTTGAGTCTTCAACACAAACAAGCACCGGTCGTGAACACCTGTTGAGCGAGTTGTTACATACGGAGTAAGGTGAAGTGTACCACAGGGAAAAGTGCTTCTTTGGTAATAAAACATGTGATGGTTCAAATCTTTAAAATTAAATAATATTAAATCTAAGGACTAACACAAATTCAATAACGGAAAAACGGACGACAGCGATAGTTCTTAAAAAACAAATCAATAACTATTTGCAGAATTAAACACCAGGCGCGCCACTTGACGGAGCGCCGGTAACGAAGTACAGAGTTGCCAAAAAAGACCACCAGGGGGTGCGTGTTGCAAAAGTATTTCGTTTCTTGTAGTGAAGGCAGTCTGAGAGAGAACGTTGAGGGAGTGAGCTGTACGTGTGCGCGGTGGATAACAGACAACGCCGACGCCATCTTGTGACGCCATGTGAGTTGAGTGCGTACTGAGTAGCGACCGTTACACGTTATATCCTCGAGTTATTCGACATAATAGAACTATCACCACTCCACATTTTAGTTATTGAACAGTAATAACAGTATCAACTACTTCTTATATAGTTTCAAAGTAGGCTTAAGTTAGTAAAGTTGTGTAGCCTAACATGTGACATTTTTTCGTTTCTTTCATCTACATTAAAACTACATAAACTATTACTGTGTGGTTTTTCATCAAAAATCCTAAAGCCGATCCACCTAAACAACAACAAAAGAAGGGGACCGTAGCAAACAACAATATTTGATTTTAAAAAGTGTATTTATATGTGGATCGGGCACAGTAGTCACAATTCACATGTATACCTCACCCGTTAAAACACTACTTAGATAAACAATTGAATTGAAAAAAAGAAAGTTTTTATTGCCCGTTAGACACATCGAATAACAACGAAATTCACTCAAACAATAGGAGAAATACTCCTAGGTTCTGCTGTATACAAAATAGTAATGTTGCTGAAGTTATGGTTGGGTGGTATTCGAGTTACATCGTTGATACATTTAAGTATTTAAAGGATTTGTTCAACTGAAACATCCTATCACAAAATTATTTATCACTTTATCAGAAAAACCCACTACAGGAGTTTCAACTGGTTTCAACACATCAAAATTTATTCCAATTTAGGGGGCACTGATTTATATAAAACAATAACAAACTGTTAACGAGTAATTAACGCAAAACAATCCACCTGGAAAGAAGTTTTCGTTTTAATTGGTAATATTTAGAGTAGTTATCGCTATTTACAGGTTTTTTAATCATTAACGCTCGACCGGGCCTAAGTATCAGACCGTGACGGGTAATTCTGCTCTGAAAATCCCCGAGTTCGCCATCAGCTGTTGAGGATTAACTGTTTATTATCATCCTAAATTTTGAATTAAGATTTTACATGAGTGTATTACCTATTATAGTTTGTTTAAATCTTCTTGCTGTAATCTCCAATACCATTGAAGGAACTCGTTGTAAATTTTATATCAGTCAATGACGCAGAAATAGTTATGAAAAATACAATAAATGTATCATATGTAAGATGTTTATATGTATACTTATATTTTAATGGATTAAATCCACATAAGCTATAACAGGGTTAGGGGCCTATACTTGCAAAAAATATTTTCTTATAGATATTCATATACATAAATATTTTCATCATACATAGATGGGATGACATCACATCTTTCAACATTTTTAATGATTTTTTTTATCTATTTAATCGAACGTAAACACGATAAATGGTAAAATAATTGCCAAACTTTAAAAACACATTAAATAATATAGTATAATAGATTCTGTCTGTTAATCATGTTAATTATACGTACTTCACCTTTTAGAAAATTCATACAGTATACAATCTAGTTAAATAAAATTTTATCATCATTAAAACAACAAATTTCTCGTCTACAATTGTAACACAATGCACTAACTAATTTAAAACTTGACTTAATTAAATTTATCGTCCGGCAAAAATATTAAAATAACACAACACTCGTCCATTCAAAAGGGACTTAAAAAAATGAACAAAAGAAAACTGAGTGACGTGATTTCGCAAAGAACGCAGGTACACATGTTTTGCGGTAATGAATTGATATAGCATATTCCGGCAACGCCTATAGCATGCACAGTCTTGGCACGCCAACTGTCATGTTACCTGTGGTGTTAGCGGCGATGGAATTGTTGACTACTCTACACTTACTCTCTGACAAACTAATACAATTTAAGAGTTGTTAATAATTGACAAATGATTATTTGGTAGGTTAATTGAATTTTTACTTATTTCTTGCCGTGGCTAATATTAATTGGACAACAATTGAACATTCAGCGTTCCCCACGTTTGAAAAATGTTACTGTATAAAAAATGCCTTGATTACAGTTTAGAACATTTTTTAATAACACATACAATATGAGTTATTTAATTAGAATGGTGCAGAGAATTATTTATTATATTTAACCCTCCTTGTTGCATATTTTATTATAAAATAGTATCGAAGTTATTCATAACATAGACTTTGTACACTTAAGTATACCATATATTGACTATCTGTATCAAATATATCATTCAAATACCCCCGTCACAGCAAACCTGTAGAATCAGCGAATTTCCATTTGGATTTTTAATTAAATCTATTTAAATAGCATTAGATTTGCTGCAACAGGGAGGTTAATAAAGTGTGTTTTAGTAAAATATAGCTTAGTATAAAATAAATAAATTTCCCAAGTTTGGTCAAAATATATCCATAAACAAGCAAACTTTAACAGTTAACTTATTCTCCATAAGAATTACATGGGAATTTTATATTTACAATTTTTGAATTTTCTCTGTTAGCAGTAACCATAAAAACACTGCCCGTTTAGTTCACAACTATAGAATGTAAGGAAACACAATTTTAAAGCATAATACTCTGATGTGTCTCAACTAAACGTGATCATAGTCGATAATCAGTATTTATCAGTTCGTACATGTGGTACAATAAATAGTGTCGACACGACACTACCTTGGTGTGTGTGTATGTGTGTGTGTGTGATGTCGTCACCCAGGTCAGACTACCAGACTGCTCAGTTGATGAACCACATTCCAGCCAATGCCGTCGTGGAGGAAAGGTCACTTCGTGTACACTTCCCACTCCTCCAGAGTCCCGCAACATCACACACAACCAACTGTAGCTAGTGTACCTCCAGTTCTGACTACTATAAATACACCTAGACATTCCATGGACCTTTGGATCCATCTACATTCTACATGAACCAATTGTATCCACTTTTCTCTATACAAAGAGCATAATGTGCCGCTCACAAAGAATTCTGCAGAATAAAACGCCAGAATGTGACGTAAAATGCTATAGTTTACAATAAGTTGTCCCATCAGTTTGGCTAAGAGGTCAAGCTAAGGGCTATGCGTATTTGACGGAAATCTGTCATTGAGCGCACTTTGTCGGTTCGGTGGCCCGTTACAGTATTACGTTAGCTTATTATAAAACTTGCTCTAGCATTAAAATAGGAATTGAATGCCTAATTCTAGTCGTGGCATGATTGGTTTTTGAAATATTAGAATGATCTTCGAAATATTACTATACGTGATGTTTGGATGATTTAGGACCTCCCGAACATCTGTGTGTGTAATGAGTAAGAGAAATCAATTATGTACTAATATCCAAGTCAAGAAAGAATCATTTCTTCAAATATACGATGAATTAATGTGTTTACCTGAATTCTTAATTATTACGTAAACTTAATTTGTTTCTATGTGTAGCCCAGGTGATCACCCAAATTGAAAAGTAAGACAGATTGATCGTATTCAATTATTTAGTCCATTAATCACTTAGCTAGAACAATAACACATAGAAGATTGTGCTGTCTGCTACATTGTGAAGTACAGTACGAGGAAGGAGGCTTTAACATTAGCATAGTTGGTTAATTACTTTGTTGGCCCACATTTACCTAATTGTGTCGGCTGCGTGACGATACCGCTAGCTCGCACCTCCAACAATGTGAGGCGCTGAATGCTGACGTAGCGTAGGAACAGAATATAATGTCCTATATTCACTGATTCATCAAAGAAGTTGTCACGTATCAAATTGTCTAATGTTTGAACGCTTCAGTAATTGAGAAAGCATGTACAAAGATTTATCAAAAATACGTGGGAGTCGACACTAACTTAAGGTTTTTGTTGATGTCTTAAGAGGTTCAACAAATATTTTATTGGATAGTCATTAAATATTAAAACAGTGTAACACCTACCAGTTATTGTGTCTTTACTGAGTTTGTATTTGCAAGTACACCACTAGGGATATACAAATTTACTGAACTGAACTGGAAATATCTCACCACAGCGTTCCCATTTTGAAATTAAAACTTGTACGTATTAGTGAAGCGGACCTAAACAGGAAGTCTTGTGACACCCAGGGTGGGAAATGGCGTTCTCACCAATAACTATGAAGATTTTGCAAGTTTAATAACGAAGCTGGGCGGGAGATAATCACAACAAGGCGAACAATGAGTAATAATTCAGTCGGAGAAGAGTGAGAAAGCTACAATAGCAGATCACACCCAAGGCTTCCGGTTGGAGCAGTAGAGCGACACCGCGACAGTGCACGACACGCTGGGTGGATCAGTGGTTATGTCAGGGGGAAATCAGGGGGTTACCGGGTATGTCCTGAGAAAATCAGTAGCTTTTTAATGGTTTAAATATGGACCCAGATGCACTTGATCATTGGGCTTTTGGTAAATGGTCCTGGCTTAAGAAGAAGCAGGTCTTGCTGAGTAACAAAGGCAAAAGACGCATCTTACTTTAACCTTTAAGTAATTAATTACTTAAAGGTTAAAATGGGCAGGATTGTGACCCCTACCACCACCTAACCAAGCAATACATCATAATATAGGTCAACCAGCAAGATGTAGATTGACCTTAAGACAACAGAATACTTGAGTGCTCAGACTACAGAGAATATAATTTTCTTCGAGCCCAAACAAACTTTGCTGGTGGATGACGATAGACTTGACAATTAATTGTATTGCAACCTGAACCATAAAATTATAAATGAGTTAACTTTGCGGGTTTTGATAGCGTCTGAGTTATTTTATCAGCCTTTGTTTTCATCTCATAGGATTTGCATACACAGTCGATTTACCAGGTACCATTATCATTAAAGGTAGTGATTTGACAACAAAACTATAAACGATCACGTGTGCGATTGCACTCATTCTCTATTCACGCAAAGGGAATTTCTTCGAAGCTAAAAGCAGATCAAAGAGGAGAGTGTACACCTAGGAGTACTTATCGGCACAACAGATAAGCACAATTATCCTTTGGTTGGTCTTCGAATGTTTTCTTCGAGGTGATAGGCAAACATCTTACGAACCTTTCCTTCTATTTGTCTTAAAAGCAATTTCAAAGGTACAACATGTATATCCCGTCACAATACGGATATAT